TGCTGACTAAAATGGTAAGAGGTTAAACTTCATGTGTGTGTGCACTACCATCAATTCAACAGCAGTCCAGCCTTTCGTAACAGGCCTGCTACCAGCTGTTCACGGCTCTGTGCAGTAACAAACACGCTGTAAAAATACTCCATATTACAAGTAAAAGTCCTGAACTCAAATTCAGTTATTAGCTAGAATTCTCCAAAGCAACACTTGGTAAAACGAGACATGTTAAACGATGTTATTGTTGTTTTATTTTGTTAATACTGATTCTTTAAATGCTACAATAGCTATTTTCACTGTTGTAAGCTTGGTCAAGGTTGGTAGGTGCAAGATTTAGCTCTCTTTTATGTCACTGTACAGTTTGGCACTTTCAATACTGTCAGTTCCCTCCAAAGGGTTAACACATCGACTTAATTCTGAGAGACGATTCATTTTCAATGTTTTTGAACTTCGCTTCGTAGTTTTTGCTTTTTTTTGATTCTGACTGTTGGATCATTACCTCACTGAAATTCGGGAAATTTAGTGGATTGAAATTCAGCATGGTTTTGGTGTGCAAAACTGCAACATCAACTAAATAACCCCAGCTTTCTGTTTTTTTCAAAGTCGCTACAAGAACCAAGCAAGGTAAGAAGCCAGATTTAATCTTTTACCAATATGTTAAAAATGTTATTTTATAAAGTTGATCAGTGTTTTTTTATTTTCAATCGATAAAATCTTTAATCTGAAATACTTTGCAACCTAGAGTTTAAGTAGACAACGTCGTGGAGTATAAGTATGAAGTAGCTTTAAGTGGATAACACTCCAGAGAAGTAAAACATGAAACCTCTCAATTCGTGTTAAGTACAATGCTTGATTAAAATGTACTTTTTTCATCCTAATATAATATATTATAAAATATGAATACGTCATCAATCACAAAAACAACAAAACAGATCCACAGCAATTTTTCTCACTGAACAACCTCACAGGGACTGAAGTATCGTCTCCTCTGTTCTCTTCTTTGGTTGCTTTTCACTAGAATTATTCATGATATATTAATATTTTAAGTCTGTACTATCATCTTATTCCTTACTAACATGATCAGGGGCCACAACATTCAAATTGTCCTTCCGTACTTTCAAGCCTTATTAAACTGTTTTCTTGTTGATTTGTAATGACTTTAAATGACATTTGTTTGTTTTGTTCTTCTTCTCAAACTTTCTGTCCAGTCTTGAAAATACTTGTATCCAGTGTGTGGAAGGTTTACACTCTGATAATGATTATTTACCATCATGTGTATGTTCCTCTTCACATTAAAGAAAAAAGAGGAAGCAGATTTCTGTGAAAGCCAGGGTTGCGGTTAAATCCAAGAGCTGCAAATGCACGACTGGATATGATTTGGGACGGATTCAACCAAACGCACTAAGAAATCAGACAAACTGTTGTTCAGACATCTCACCCCTGATTAAATCCTGTGGCAGTTGCATCACCAAGAAGAGACAGAGGGACGATACTTCAGTCCTGTTGGGTTTCATGAGAAAAATGCTGTGGATCTGTTTTTGTTGTTTGTGATTTGACGTATTTATATTTATAATATATATAATTAGTAAAAAGTACATTTTAATCAAGCATTGTACTTAAGCACAATTGAGAGGTCATGTTCTCTCCTGGAGTGTTTCCACTTAAAGCTACTTTCATACTTATACTCCACGACGTTTCTACTTAAACTCTAGTTGCAAAGTATTTTTCAGATTAAGATTTTTACATTGAAATAAAAAAACACTGATAACTTTATAAAATACATTTTAACATATTGGTAAAGATTAAATCTGGTTCTTAACCTTCTTGGTTTGTAGCACTTTTGAAAAAAAAACAAAAAGCTGGGGTTATGTTCAGTTGAGTTGTTGCAGTTTCACCAAACACTGATTTCACCACTAAATTTCCCGAAATTTCAGTGAGGTAAAATGATCCAACAGTCAACAAAAAAAAGCAAAGACTACAGCGAAGTTAAAACATGAAAATGAATCGTCTCTCAGATTTATCATGTGACCCTTTGGAGGGAACGACAGGATTAAAGTGCCAAAACTGTACAGTACATAAAAGAAGCTAAATCTCTGCACCTCCCACCTTGACCAGCTACAAACAGTAAAAAGCATATTTAGACATTTAAAGAATCAGTATTAACAAAAATAAAACATACAATACATCGTTAACAGTCTCGTTTTACCAAGTTTGCTTTGGAGATTTAGCTTAATAAGAATTCTGAGTTCAGGACTTTTACTTGTAATGGAGTATTTTTACACGGTTGTACTGCACAGCCGTGACACTGGTAGCGTTTACAAAGGCTGACTGCTGTTGAAGTGTAGTGCACACACACATGATGTTAACTCTTACCCCATTTGTCAGGCACATAAGTATCCCTGACCATTGTTGCCCTCCATCTGTGGAGTACTGCACACAGCTCGCGCAATTTATATCCATCCAGTCTTATGTCGATTTATCTAGAAGAGCAAGAATGAAAATATTAACAGCCATCATCATCATCATCATCATCATCGTATTTTGGATTGCTCTCAGCACCTCCTTTGTAGCACAGAATATATATAACTTTTTTAAAGGTGTTCAGTATCATGTATCACAACAAACGTAAAAGCTAAAAAGTTCAGCCTCACTTGAACATTTAATCTTTTTCACTGAGGGTTTGGAGTAATAGCTGATGTTCCAACCAGGACATTGACATTTCCACAGTTGTTCTTCATTTCCCATGCATTCCAGCTCATTGAGCCACACTCGCTCTTCTTGGGCCTTTTCCACATCGACTGTTGAGTTCTGCAAAGGTCCCCACAGTGAGTGCTTCTGCATGCCACTTTTTCAGTGTTTAAGTTCCAGTATTTATCTCCAACAAAGCGCCATTTGCCCTCAAAGAGGACTTCAACGTGGCCTTCACATGGAGTAGCTCCACCTCTGAGAATCACCCGGTCCCCATCTGGTCAGAAGGCAGAAGGTTAAACAGAAGTATGTAAATAGAGAGGGCATATGTTGCATTTTGTCATCTTCATTCATTTAAGTTGTTGTTTGAAGTTGCTGTCATTGTTTTGTTTTTTTTTAATACCTGATCAGGAACTTATTTCTGAGTTTTCGACCCACGTTTGCTGTTGTGCTAAAATTAACTCCAAATTTTATAAAAAACTTTGCAAAAGTTTGGGAGCTCCCAACCTGTTCCCCTTAGAAAAGCACATAAGTATCCTGACCATTGTTGCCCTCCATCTGTGGAGTACTGCACAGCTCCGGCACATTTATATCCATCCAGTCTTATGTCGATTTTATCTAGAAGAGCAAGAATGAAAAATTAACAGCCATCATCATCATCATCATCATCATCGTATTTTGGATTGCTCTCAGCACCTCCTTTGTAGCACAGAATATATAACTTTTTAAAGGTGTTCAGTATCATGTATCACAACAAACGTAAAAGCTAAAAGTTCAGCCTCACTTGAACATTTAATCTTTTTCACTGAGGGTTTGGAGTAATAGCTGATGTTCCAACCAGGACATTGACATTTCCACAGTTGTTCTTCATTCCCCATGCATTCCAGCTCATTGAGCCACACTTCGCTCTTCTTGGGCCTTTCCACATCGACTGTTGAGTTCTGCAAAGGTTCCCCACAGTGAGTGCTTCTGCATGCCACTTTTTCAGTGTTTAAGTTCCAGTATTTATCTCCAACAAAGCGCCATTTGCCCTCAAAGAGGACTTCAACGTGGCCTTCACATGGAGTAGCTCCACCTCTGAGAATCACCCGGTCCCCATCTGGTCAGAAGGCAGAAGGTTAACAGAAGTATGTAAATAGAGAGGGGCATATGTTTGCATTTTGTCATCTTCATTCATTTAAGTTGTTGTTGAAGTTGCTGTCATTGTTTTGTTTTTTTTTAATACCTGATCAGGAACTTATTTCTGAGTTTTCGACCCACGTTTGCTGTGTGGCTAAATTAACTCAAATTTTATAAAAACTTTGCAAAAGTTTGGGAGCTCTGCCAACCCTGTTTCCTAGAAATTAAGTTTCCATACAACAATTTGGCAAAGTGTAATTGTATACAAACGTTGTTTTTGCGAGTCAGGGTTGGCTCTTAAAGGCTTTTACAAAACCTAAAAACCTCTGACTGCTATGAAACATCCTGTTTTTCCTTTTGAATGCTGTTTCATGTGTTTCCATTTATCTACAAAGTCAGTCAAAATTGTAATGAGAGTTTTTCCTACAAAGTAAAGAAATGATATAATAGCGACATAAATAGATTCAGAGCAGGATCAGAAGTATCTCATTTTATACTTGTTTTGGGAAAAATAGGAATTTCCTTGACAAAAAACAAACAAACCTCAATTTAAACCTAATTGCTGTAAATATACATTAGAGTGCTTGGAAAGATCATTCCGCCCATGTGCTTAATTGATCACTTGTTTGGAAATATTTTTCACTTATTACTACATTAACTACAAACCCGCATTTTTGCCTTTATTCTGAAAGGACAGTAAGAGTAGAGAGGAGGGTCAGGGTGAGAGAGAGAGAGAGAGAGGGGATGACATGCAGCAAAGGGCCGTGGGTCGGTCTCAAACCCAGGCCACTGCGGTCAGGAGTGAGTGGTGCGCACTCTCCCAGGTGAGCCACCGAGACGCACCTGTGTTTCAGTATTTTCAAAATATTCATGAGAATAATCTTTCTTGGCAACTTTGTCTAAATTATTTTACAGAAAACCCTGAAGCTAAGATTAAGATTACTAAACATTCATTTTTTTCAACCTTAGTTTAAGATTAGTGTCAAATTTATTCAAATATCACCCGAACTGACGATGACTTTAAGACATATTAAGTAATTAAAAAATGATAATAATATGCAGGTTATTTTTGTAATTTATGACAATATTTGCCGAAAGACAAAGATGTCCAGATGTAACTTCTATATCAAGAGAGTTACCTTAGCTACCTTAATTAATTTCTCAGATTAGTGTGATGTGACTTTCTGTAATTTTCAAAAATTTTGACCACATCAGAAATTTTTTTTTCAAATTTCAAAGCAATTTGTATCATTATTTATTTTATCTTATTTATTATCATTATATTTAATATTACTTTATTCTATTTTTCAAAATTTTTTCTTTTAACTTGACATGAAAAACCTCCAGTGTTGTCCAAAATGTTGTTGAAATGATACATTAGAATAATTATTTACATTTTCCCCTCGTACTACTAGACTGGAATCTGGTTGTTATATTGTGGCCTACAGGTACACTTTTAATAATCAATTAATAAATAATAATAATTGCTACTTTACTGTTCACAGAAACCTCTTTTCATCACAGCTTTTAACTTAAGGAAATAATAAATCTTTAGATTCAGCAAGACATTTCCTGCAGCCCCTGCCTGTGGTTGCCTTCTAAAAATAGATATCTTTCGCTTAAATACATTTAATGGAAAGTTATATCCTTTTTTTTTTTTTTTTTAAATGGAAGATTCTTTTTCTTATCTCAAAAATCTGTTAAATCAGGCATCGTTCAGTTTTAATTCGTCACAAATAAAGAGAAAGAAAAGAATAGTCATAACTTGCCTTTTTTGTCCGTGAGCTGAGTGTGAGCAGCGTGGATGAGAAGAAGGAGGAACCACATCATCACCACAGACTACAGAGGAGAGTGAGGCAAAAGAATGAGCTGCTCAGCTTTATATCACAAAGGATGTGCCCACCAAAAATGGGTATGAGCTGCTACCTGCTCACATGTGCTGCACGGTTAGATTTGCAAATTCTGTCTTAGAATGAAAGACAATTGAAACAACAAAACATACAAACTCTATTATACACACGAACAAACATACACATATATACATATACTGTATGCATGTATATTTACATACATATGTATCCTCCATATTATTACAGTTTTATTAAAATTTCATAAATTATACTTTTTTAGAAATCGGTGTGCGTTTTCTCTTCTAACAAAAACTTAACTGGTTTTTCTGTGATTTAGACTTTTATTTATGATTGACATTTGAATGTACAGCTATTAAATAAATCCAGTCCATCTATATTCTCCTGATGAGGGAGAAAGCTCACCACACCCAAACCCTGTAAATGATACGATGCACAAAGTCTGATGTCGTGAGATTTATTTCATTTTTTCAAATGTTGCATTTGATTAAAATGTCTTTGTTTCCAGTAAGATTATTGTAAGACTATTGTTTTTACATACAGCAACACAGATGGGTGTTCATTTCCTAATGACTGGGTAAATTAAGTACAAGAAAAAAAATTAATTTATGACATGACTGCTCAGCAAAAAGTAGTCACCAACAATTACATTGCGATTACATCCAACAATATAACTGTAAACTCACTGTATCAATATCCTACTAAAAATTGAATATTCTATGAAGAAGAAATAGGATTAAATAAACTGAAAAATGTTTTGTTTTGTTTGAGTTGAGATATTAATCATTGTCATTTCACATAGCAGACAGCATGTATAGATTCATATTGTAAAATCGATGTCAATATGGTTAATATGATGCTTTCTGCCTTAAATAAAGATATAAAAAGTTTTAGTGTCAAACTCTTCCAGTAATCCTGAGGTCTGAGATCAGGTCCTTAAATACCAAGACTTAGTTAAGAAAGCAACACACTTCACTGGAGTCATCAAGGGAGCAAAATGTCAACTCACATTAGAGAAATGTCATGCTATTAATATTCTTAGAAAGGTAAGATAATTTTACTGAGAAAAAAAAAGAAAGAAAAAATATCATCTTCCTGCTACCTATTATCAAAAAAGGCATCTAAAACTATAAAAAGCTCTGATAGTGATACAAAACAACTTCCTCAACAGAGACATCCAGATCATTTAATGAGACGCTGAATAACATGAGGGTAACTATTACAATTAATTTACTCTGACATTTCCAGATGTACCATTATATATGCAAAATTATAAAGTTTAAAAAAACGTATTTTTTTTAACCAAATAACTCAGATGTAACTATTTATATTCAGCCTGAACAAATTTGTTGAATACAGGCATATTTATACTGCGCAACATACGAACATATGAATATTACTTTCAACTTTTGGAACAAAAACAAAACCAAGAAACAACAAGACACAAGTCGAAGCCCCTCCATCCCAAACGAAAAGGTTGCCACTGTCAGTGCATATTAAGATATTAAGCTGTGTATCCAATGGCCACAGATGTTAAAAATGGAAATATCCGTCGTGGCTGAAATTTTCCATTCACTGTCACATTCTGCAGACGTGCAGCGAGTATGATTTAAATTTTCAGTAAAGGGACCCAAATCTTAACAAGTAGAAAGTAAAGAGTACGTAATCTTCTCTAAATGTCGACAGGAAACCATGTCACATTGCCGCTATCTATTTATCTAACTATATCTATTTAGAAAATTACAAAAGAAAATTACAGGTTTTTTGTCTTCTTTCCCTACAACATCTCAGAGGCCTCACATTATTATTTTGTCATCATTCTTCTTATTATTATTTACTTTATTCTAATGAAATAGTACTTTAAATGCAGGACTTTTACTTGTAACGGAGTACTTTATATGAATGTATGGATACTTTTATTAAAGTGATGGATCTAAATGCGTCTTCCACCACCACTGATCCCTACAGCAAAAGTAGGTCTCTGTGCTATCTTTAGTTTCCTTGGGCTGTAGCAAGAGGTAA